TAAATTATTATTATTTTATTATTATTTTTTTTCCCCCAATTTGAACTAATAATAATAATAATAATAAAAGTAAAAAAATGTCTTACACGATATCGATGGCTGAAAAGCCGATACCACACATATCCGAAGCCGATTGGAAAGCAAAAATCTGGAACATGAAAGCTGTGGGTCAAACAAAAGCGGAAAATTCATACGAATTGAGGAATGACGTCAGGCAAACGCGTAACGAAGCCGTCATCATAAGGAGATGGACGAATTATCATAATAATTTAAAAATATCAGATAGGTGAGTTTTTTTTTTTTAAAGTTCATTGAACTCATTGTTTTGAAAAAATAAAAATAAAAAGTAAACATTATAATAATAATAATAATTATGAGGTTTACCTTTGTTAAGGCTGACGGAAATACGAAGGTGGATGAACAAATTGGGTGGAGCTTTGCAAAATTTAAAACTTCAATCTGAACTTTTAATGGCTGACAAATTCGAAACGGAAAAAGAAATTGAAAAATATTGTTGTTGTCTGAACACCATTAGCGAATGTAGATTTCTTCGGGATTCTAAAAATAAATTAAATTTGGTTAACGATAATGTCGGACAAGAATTACAATCGGTAAAATTTGAAAAAAAAAAAAAATTTATTTATTTTTATTTTTTTTATTTCTCCCCCCCCTCCCCCATCACCCGACGAATTTATAAAACCATAACAAAAAATTTTACTAATAAATTTTAGTTTATGTATAGGAAATCGAATCTTTGGAATCAACTAAAAAATATTTAAGTGAAAAATGTTTTTCTGCTTGGGAACAAAATAATAGGATCACATCACTCATATACACACTCGAAAACGATATAGCCGATAAGGGAGAAGCATTGGAAATTGATTTAAACGTATTAAAATTGGATAGCACGAGCGCTTCTGCCACGTACAAACCCGACGTTCTTAGACTTCCCGATAAGTAATAATAATACTACCCTTTTTCTCATCATTTTTCTTCTTTTTTCTTTTTGGATAAGTAGTAAAAACTCATGGCGTCATTTTTAGAGTCTTGCCTATAGAAGTGTGGCTCGAAAGAGCACAAGCAAATTGTACGAGTGCGGATAACGAATGTTTGACGGCGACTAAAATGAGAGAATCATTATCACTGGCACGTGAAAGATCAAGAATGGATTATTTGGCACAATATGAAGCCACGAATTATGCATTGAGAAAAAGATCGTATGAAACATTGCGTTTAAAAACGGAATTGGAATATCAGAAAAAAAATGTGTGTCATGATAAAATTTTATACCTTTCTTCTCTTCTCTTTTTCCTCCTCCCTAATATATTTTTCCTTTCACTTCAGATACTTGACGAAATGGAAAAATTAAGCAAAGAACTTGAAAGATTGAAAATGTGTAAAGAAGAAACGATTAATTATTTAAAATGTGCCGAATCGAGATTGGAATCGCGAAATCAACGTCCCGCAAATGAAGCAACCAGAGACGATGCACAAATTGGATTACACGAAGAAGTCGTAAAACTTCGGCAAACCATCGAAGATTTGGATGCGAAAATTGCTAAAATCAAGTACGGATAGTAGGACTTTTGTTTTTTGGTTTTCATTTTTTTTCTTTTCCACCCTCTTACGTTTTAAAACTTTTTTACAGATCGACGTACAATCAAATGGAATCCTACATACTCGAATTGGAAACTGAAATTAAATATCAAGAGCAAAGCATTAAACTCGACGATCAAGCATTATCCATACACGAATCAATACTTCAAATGATACCTATATCTCAAATTGATAAAACAATTGAATTATTTAACATGTCGAAAGAACTTCCACCGGAACAACCGGTCGTCCTATAAAATTTTTATCCAAAAAACTGTCACTTTTTCTTCTTTTCTTCTCCTTTTTTTCTAATTAAACAAGCTTAGCTCATTTAACGCTTCGTTATTTTCAAATAATTTTAATTAAAATTTAAAACAAAAATTTTCTTCTTCTTCTTCTGAAGAGAGTAAAAAAAAAAAAAAAAAATTAATAATTAAATTTTTAGCTTATAAAAATTTCTTTTAATGTCGTGTGTTCGTCCCTGCTTTTTTCAACGTTAATTAAATATTTATTTACAAAAAAAAAAAAAAAAATTTCTTTGAGCGTAAATCACGGTAAAAATTTTTTTTTTTTTTTTCAATTAATTTATTTTTATAAGCACTTTTTTTTTAATAATAATAATAATAATAAAATCTGAAAACAAATAAATTTTTAATTAACGATCATTCATAAAATAATGATAAACATTTGATCAAAAAAAAAAAAAAAATTGATGATGTCATTTCGACGTCATTGTTTACATGTCTAACAAAACAGGTTTAGTTTCTTTCGCGCATTTTATCATGCTTTGAATAAGTTTAACGAATCCTGTATCTTTAGGTTTTTCCAGCCCTCTTAACAATCTATTTTTCATTACGGCTACAAATTCTTTATTGCTTAGCTGACCGTCAACTGGAACAAAATAAAAATTTATTGTAAAATAAAGAGAGAGAGAGAGAGAGAAAGACGTGAAAAAATAAAATTCCTTACGGTTCTCGTCAAATATTGTGAAAACAACGTTGATGACGTGATCTGATAAATCCACGTGTGCGACAGTTTTCGCCACGTGTTTCAACGTGGCCTGATCTATGGAAGCACCGGCGATGTGATAAAAAGTCAAAGCCGTGTCCACGTCGTTTATATTATTAAGAAAGTGAAAAAATTTCAAATAATCTTCTTTTGATATTCCCAAACTGTTTTCTTTGAATCTGACAGAAGACAGAGAGAGAGAGAAAAAAAAAAAATTTTTAACGGATTTTAAATTAAAAAAAAGAAAATATCTTTATCTCTCTTCTACTTCTACATCTTGTTATATTTACTCTTTTCTCACTCTTTTCAACATTCTCGCTTTTTTCTTTTGCGGATATCCAGCGTATGCCAACAAAAGTTCCGTGAAATCCGTTTCCGTTATTCTACCATTTTCATCTGGATTTTTCCTTTGAAACTACAATATTCGAGACATTAATAATAATAATATTCCTCCCTATCATTGAATATTATTACGTTTCTCAAAAAAATCGAATTACTTCGAGACTTAATATTTCACATTGAAGCTGTTGTTGAAATTCTATAAATTTTTCAATCGTCAATTTTTGATCTTTTCCGGGTCCGAAAAAAAAAGTCACGAGAGCCGAATTGACACCCTTTAATCGAAAAAAAAAGGAAAAATTATTAACTCACAAATATAAAAAGGAAATAAATTCATTTTATTCAATGTCAAACCTTAAAAGTATTTCCGGTATTTGCGTGGTCTCTGTGCCTCGAACCTATAGATGTTTGATGACGTATCAACGTGGCCACTTTTTCGAATTCTTCGCTGTCCACATCGCCATCTCCGTTCAAATCGAACATTCTAAATGCGATTTCGAAATGACGTCCCGATGCTGAAAAAATAAGAAAGAAAAAAAAAAAAAAATTTCCCTACCATTTTTCCATACCGGAAATAAAACGTGACGTCATTTAAAAAAACTTACTCGAAAGTACCGTGAGTAAAAATATGTAATCGGAAAATGTTATGAGTCCCGAACTACCCAATTTGTAAAAAATACTATCTTCGTCTAGTGCCAATTCCAATTTAAGATTCAAATCCTAAAAATATTTTTTTTCAAAAACAGTTTGAAGACATTATTATTATTATTATTATTATTATTATTATTTGTAAAATAATAAGAGAGAGCTTAAAAAATAAATATCAGAAACGACAAAAAAAGAAAATGAAATGTAAACCGTGAACACGCAACAACCAAAATGTCAAATTTTCATATTTTTTTCATGCACTTTTCCAAAAATATATAAATGAAGTACTATTATTATTATTATTATTATTATTATTATTATTATTATTATTATTATTATTATTATTATTATTATCAAACATGAATCCTTTGTATTTTTCTAACAAACTCAAAATATCATTTTTTTTTACAAATTTAATTAACAAAAACAATGGAAAAAGTAAAAGAAAAAAAAAAAATGTGCAAAGCTATTTATTTACTAAATTGGTGAATTGAACTGATTGATTGATTGATTTTTTTTTTTTTTTAAATTTTACTACAATGATAGTAGAAAGAGAGAAAGAAAAAAAAAACAAATGAATAATATAAAGAGATTACCAAAAAAATTTTAATTTACCTCCTTGTGACTCTAGAAAAGAATTCAAAAAAAAAAAAAAGAAAAAAATGGGAAACAAAAAAAAAAAAAAAGAAAAAAAAAAAAAAAAGAAAAGTTCATAAAAAAAAAACATTTAAAAGAAATTTAACAACAAATGCATTTATATATAGACTTTATCAAGTAATAAATAAAAAAAATTTTTTTTTTTTAAACGCATTTACACGCATGTACACACTTATATATATACACGCAAAAAGAAAAGATAAAGAAAAATTAAAATTATTTGACTTACCTTTGGATCATATTTTCTAAATTGATCTAAACCGAGACCTGAAAACAAAAAAAAAAAAAAATTAAATTGAAATTTAAATTTTTTTTACATTATTATATTCACATATGACTCGATACTTAATAATAATAATGATAAATACAATAATTAAATGCTTACCTTATTATTAATTTTTTTTTTAATAAACAAAATATTATTTTTTTTAGTTGTCGAAATCAATTCTTAAATAAAATAAGATAATAATGATAAAATGCAAAAAAAAATCAACATTAATAGTAATTTTTTTAAATATTCAATACAATTATAACACCAAATAATAATTTTTTTTCTTAATTTTTTGACACCAACCTTTATATAAACCATAACAATATGAAAACATGCAAATCATAACCTTTAACAGTTTTATACAAATTCAAAATGCAAAATAAATATAAATTACATCAAACAGAGCATTCATTTTAAAAGGTTTTCACATTATTCGAGGAATAATTAGGGGAAAACAAAAAAAAAACAAACAACATTAAATAAAAATTGATAATTTTTTTTTTTTTTGCTAAAAATGAATTCCTACCCTCAGGTTGTTTTAGACCAGGCGTCATTGATCTTAAGAAATCATCAGGAGTCATAAATATTTCATGCTGATCAAGATGAACTCCCGGATGTGCAACTTGAAGAGTTGCAAAATAACGAAAAACTTTATCAGGAGTAGAATATTGTCTTATGCGATTTTCATATTCAATTATCTGTAATTATAATACTTTATCCTGTCTAATGTGATTTATATTTTTCTTTTTAATTTAAGGTACATCACAATCACTCTATTAATAAAGTGTCTCTTTGTTTTTTTTTTTTGAAAAAAAAAAAAAAGGCCCAATAAATTGTTTGTTAATAAAATATAATATTCCAAATGAGGGGAGTCAGTGGAGAAATTGCGGATACCCATCACCAAAAATTGATAATAGATAAATTTTTCAATGAACCTTTGACAAATGCAAATTTACTGACCATCTGGTTGCTTATCTCCTGGTGTAATAGATCTTAAAAAATCAGAGGGTGTCATAAATACTTCTGCAAACTCTCCTTCAAACATTTTAACGGTTGCAAAGTATCTGAATATTTTATCAGGAGTCGAATACATTCTCATACGATTTTCATATTCAGTTATCTACATAACATAAAATGTAGGCCCTCATAAAATAAAACCTTTTCTCTAATTAATTATAAATCAAAATAAATTATAAAATTTAAATCGGGTAACTTTTTCTTCCTCATGAATATTTACAGAAACAAATTAATAAAAAATTTAATACAATAATTAATGTAATAATTTTCACTAGACTTATGTTTAAATGACAGCGATGAAGTCGATCAAAAAAAAGACAAATAAATACTTATTACCAATGAACAATCAACAGTTTTTTTTTTAAAAATTATAAATTGAATTCGAGTAATCATTACAATTTTAAAATGTAAAATAAAAAAAAATCATATTTAAAATCTTATTAACATTATTATTATTATAATTATTAACTATTATTAATTAATTATAATTTTAACAGTCTACCTTTCTATCTCTAAAACCGATTTTCTTTTTTTTTTTCCTTTTTGCTGCCTCTTCTGAATCGGGCTCTATTTCAGTTTCAATATAAGGTGCATTTTCATGAGCAGCTTCAGCATCAGCTTTTTTGATAAATTCTTTTTTAGAAACGAACCTAATGAACAAATCAAATGAATATATTTTTTACTTTTAATAAAAATAAATGGATCAATTTTATTTATAAATTAAAAATTAAATTACCAGAAAGGTCTAGCAGCAAAAACCACAAAAATTAAAACTATAGACCACCAACCAAATAATTTTAATGTAGGCTCTGATCGTTTCATATGAGCAAAATTTCTGTAAAATCTTTTTTCATCTTGAACTTTACTTTGAGTTTTTATTAAAAAATTATTTTTTTGATAATTACATATATTTTTAGTTGATGAAATAATAATACCGCGAGAATGCGAGTATAATTTTGAAATATTTCGTATCATCTCTCAAAAACAGAGAGAGAGAGAGAAAAAAAAAGTAAATTTTCTTAAAATAAGAATAAATTTTTACTCTTATAATAATACATCACATTATTAACTTACAGGATTCCAATAAAACTTGAACAATTTTAAGTTGGCACGACTGAATTATTTCACGCGCCAAAATTATTTATCACGTTAAAAATTGAAATTTAAAAAAAAAACGTTCGTTAGTTTATTTAATTTTAAAAATTTAATAAAAAATAAAATAAATCTTTGTTAAAAGTGTTTTTTTCTGCAGATAAAAATTAAATTTTAATTAATTAAAACTATTTTGAATAATTAAAACCTTTAATTAAATTAAAATTTATCGATTTCAATTATTTTTTATTTATTTTAACCGTTAACCGTTAAAATTCAATTTTTCACTTGTCAATCTCCATATATAAATCATGCAAAGTAAATTTTTCTTTTCTATAATTCAAAAAAAAAAACAAATAAATTTAATTTAAAATGAATTGTTTATTAAAATATTATTAAACATATTTATGTATAGATCAATAATTATTAATAAAATCTTAATTTAATATTAAAGAAAAGAAGAAAAAAAAATGAAAAGATATTGTGATGAACATTTAAACATAGATTTAATAAAAAATAATAATAATAATAATAATTACAGGAAAGAATTTTCACATGGGAAAATAAATTCACTATTAGAAGATTTAATTGAAAAAGAAGATGAAATAAATTTATATAAGGAAAGATTAAAAGAATTAGAAAATGCTTTTTATTACAATCTTGATATAATATCAGAAAGAGATTTAGAATTGAGCATATTGGAAAAACAACTCAACTGTGAGTTTTGCATTTTACACCTTTTAATTATTATTATTATTATTATTATTATTATTATTAATTACAATAAATACTGTAGTTAGTGTATAATTAAAATAAAATTAAACTATAATTAAATGAAATTCTCAGATGAAAATGAAAAATTGCAGAGAACAAAAGAGGAAAAAAATGAATTGGAAGACATATTGAATACAATTGATAAAAAAAACGAAAGGAAAATTCAACAAATGAAAATAATATTAAATCGTAGAGAAGAAAAAATGAATATACTTCAAAAGTAAATACAAACAAAAAAAAAAAAAAAAGAAAATTAAAAATTTTTAATCATTTGTATTTGTAAACTCATCCATTTGTTTTGTTTTTTGTAAAGGGAAAATTTTAAATTTTCAAACGCATTGGAAACAATAACAAAAGAAATAAAAGATGACGAATTAAAAAAAATAAATAAAATACAAACGAAATACGAAATGGAAAAAGAAAATTTAATAAAAAATTACGAAGGAAAATTAATGGAAAATGAAAAAAAATTCCTTATGGAAATCAATAGAATTAACGAAGAAGTAGGTGAGATGATTTTAATTGTATCATCATCATCATCATCATCATCATCATTTTTAGTTTTTAGAAGGAAGTTATATCGTGTTCATAGAGTAATAAAAATGACGTCATTAAAAACCGTTAATAATGTTATTTTTTCCAGGCATGTGAAAAAGAAATGAAAATGAAAAAATTAGAAGATGAAAATATAAAATTAAAAAATTATTTGAAAGATTTTGAAAAAACTTTTAATAATAATAATAATAATAAGAGAATTGATGTTAAAACACGTGAAATTCAATGCGATATAAAATTTAAGGTAAAGCAAAAAGAAATTTTTTTAAAATTTAAAATTTAAAAGCAGAAGTAAATTTTTTTTTTTTTTTAACATAAAACAGGTTTTTGATAAGAACGTACAAGTCATACCTCATACGTCAGATGTTAAAACACAAACGGAAACAATGAGAATTTCAGATGTAAACAAAGAAGATGAAGAAGCAGAAGAAAGAGAAAATTATAATAAAAATCAAATTATGTATTTACAAGAGCAAAACGAAGTTTTAAAATTAATTATAAAAGATCTAAAAAAAAACAACAATTTTGAAAAAAAATTTAATTATTATTTACAAAATCACGAACATGATATAAATGATTCGAAAAAAAATATTTTACAATTAAATGATAAATTCGAAACGGAAATTGAAAATATAAAAAAATTATTAATTCAAGAACAAAATCAAAGAGTCCAAGAAGAAACCATTATGGAAAATTTAGAAACGACTATGACGTGTCTTAAAAATAAATTATTAAATACTTTACCGCCAAAACAACGTCATCAAAACCACGTGGATCATCTTACAAAAGGTGAAAGAATTAATATTATTATTATTATTTAAATTTTATTTTATCATCCGAAATTTATTTAAATTTCAACATTTTTTTCGTTTACAGAAAATGACGTAGGTGATACCGGTAATAATAATAATGATGAAACCACACAAAGGAATCAAATGGAAGAATATATGGAAGGTAATAATCTCAACGGTAATATAAATTTATTGAATCGTTTCGAACGAAACATTCTAGAAAAAATCGATGACGTCAAAAGTGAATTTTTCGATAAAATTAAATCATTATTATTACTCTACGAAAATTTAAATAAAGATAATTTTTTCGACGAAATACGTAAAGAAATTAAAAAATTACAATTTAATATGGAATATTTTTTACGCACTCATAATAATAATAATAATAGTAATAGTAATAATAATAATAATATTATAATTGATAAAACGGATAAGAATTTTTTAAAATCGAACAAAAATGACAAAACGTGTGATGACGTCATTTATCCAGAAACATCTGATATTTTTGACGACTCGGAACGATATTATTATTATGTGCCAAAAAGTTACGAAATAAATAATTTATTATTACGTAATATTAATAATAATAATAATAAATACATAAATTTATTAAATCCGAAACAAATTCGTTTTTGTCACAATAACGATTATTTAAATTACGAAAAGGATTTTTACGTTACCGGAAGGTGACTGCAACGTCATGACGTCATAGAATTTATTATTACGTAATAAAATAAAAAAAATTGAATATCGTGTTGGCCGATTAACCGTTTTAATCGCCATCTTTCTTTTCCCTACCTATTGAGTGCAATTATTTCATTGATGTTTTATTTATCCCTCTCTCCCCCTCCCCTCTAACTCAGAAAAAAAAACCATTTTCTTTTAAGGAATTAGCTTGCTCCTATAAATTTTTTATATAATGTTTTAAATACGTAAATGAAAAGGTCAAAGGTTATTTGAACTTTCGTGTCTGCTTGTTTGATCCATTTAAAAAGCGTGTGAAACGTTTTTTTTTTTTTGTTATCATTCCTCGTCGTTTTTGTTTTTTTATGTTTTATGTTTTATTAATAAAAAAACATTATCTATCGCAACTCTGAAAAATAAAACAAAACAAAACATAATTTTATTATTACATAATTTTTTATGTTTAAATGATAAAACAACAATAATAATAAATAATTTGTTTATGTATAAATAAAAATAATAATTAATTTTTAATTTAATTATCATTTTTTTTTTAAACAAATCAATCAATCTTTTTTTACAATTATTATCATTATCTTTGTGTTTTTAAAAATAATAATAATAATAAATAATAAATATAAAAAAAATTATGGATCGATTGATTTTAATAAATTAATAAATAAATAACTACGTCGTATCGACACAAAACGATTTCACGTCATATTTAAATAATTTAAAATACAAATAATAATAATAATAATAGTTTTTTTCA